GCATGCGCCACCATGCCTGGCTAGTTTTTTCTATATATTTTTAGTTGTCCGATTAATTTCTTTCTATGTTTAGTAGAGACGGGGTCTCGCTCTTGCTCAGGCTGGTTTCGAACTCCTGAGCTCAAACAATCTGCCCGCCTCGGCCTCCCAGAATGCTAGGATTACAGGCGTGAGCCACCGCACCCGGCCTAGATCTGTAGTTTGTTTTGTTTTTCCTAGGGAGAGCAATGATAATGTGAGTTTTCTTTAACTGTACAAAGTAATAAGGAAACTCAAGCAAAATTAAGGTAAAAAGTTTTCAACTTTCTCCGTTAAGGCTCTCAATTCTGGGAGTTCAACAGAGGACAACAGAATAGAGTAGTACAAGAGGATACTTCTAGATGTCCAAGTATCTAGCAATTCCTATCATTAAAAAACATGTGGATTGTATTTTAAATAAAGAATTATGTAATATGACTTTCCCACGTCTCTATCCTGATGTCTCTATGATGAACAGATTCGAAACTCAGCAAATATTGACCAATAATACAGAAGTAATTAAATCCTAGAATGACAGAAAACCTTCATAGGAAGAAGCCAACAAGGTTGCAACTCAGGAGGAAATACATTTCCATTAGAACCAGCCAATTTTCCTAAACTTCCAGAAATATATGTAATACTTTAATATTCCCCAAAATGTGAGCTCTCTACTGGAACAACATCCTCAAACGGCATGTAGATATTCAGATTCTAACCCTTTTCCAAATAAGAAAGGTGCAGGTATAATGCTTTTTATAACTAAAAACATCAGAGACCTAGACTGTCCAGGGCTAATTAAAAGAAAAATATTCTTCTTCTAAACTTGTTAGATCCTAAAGGAATATTTGTGACAAAGCAGATCACAGTAATTGCAAAGAAAATGAGAGACTACAACAAAACAAAATGAAACAATATCAGGTCCAGAAATACAGAAGATTCAAAAGATTGATACATAAAAATATTTTAGAGCATAATTATAGAAACTTGTAGACATCCTGAAAATCATTTTAGTAAATTTTATTTAGCTGGGCACAGTGGTGCATGCCATAGTCCCACCTACTTGGGAGGCTGAGGCGGGAGGATTTCTTTAGCCCATGAGTTTGAGGTTGTAGTGTGCTATGATCACACCCGTGAATAGCCACTGCCCACCAGCCTGGGCAAGATAGCGACATAGTGAGATCCTGTCTTTAAAAAAAAAAATTTATATAGCGATACTGGGAGAATTTCTAAACTTGGTAAATAGCTAAATGACAATAAGGCATTCATGCAATTATGTCTAGTTTTGAGAGACTTTTATGAAAATGTTCAGAAATTATTTTAAGTTTCAGAAAAGAAGACATGTCATATATAAATAAAGTGGGCCATCCCAAAACATTACCTTACTAAAAACATTAGAGACCTAGACTGTTAGAGACCTTTTCATTAATGAAATGAAAAGTGACCTGGAATCATGCATAAATTTGTTTTAAAAAAGGAATCATAAAAGAGGGATTTATATAAAGCCACAGGACCTATTTTCTGGATATTAGAGAAATGGCTAAAACAGTCAATCTTTTCAGATAATTTCAACAACTCTTTCAGGGAATGACAAATGAAAACTTGCCTTAATTAGAAAGAATGCATAAAAAAGATGAATCGCTGATCTTGAATTAATGTTTGTGAAAGGCTGGGACTTGAGATAACTACATTTACAGAAAAATTAATATGCTGATTAGGAATTTATGAAAGAGATAAATTAGGGAACAGTTATTTGTATTACAATATTAATAACTATCGGTTGTGCTTATATAATGAATGAGTTTCTGAAGTACAGTTAAATGTTAAAAATATTTTATTTGACTTAAAATTCTGCTAATAAACAATTTCAAAGAAAGGCATATTTGTATGTAATGTAAATCTTTTTTCTTTCTTTTTTTTTTGTTTGGCTTGTCTCTGATTAACATAATGTAAATCTTAAAGCTTAGGTTTAAGTCATGTGAAAATAATACCTAAAACTATAATTAAATAGGAAACTACTATGGGGAATATTCATTTTTCTTATTATGTATTTATTTCAAATGCAGTTTAAAACAATATTTTAGAAAAATCAATATAGCAACATATAAATTTGAGTATAATTATTGAATAAGATTTTTTTCCCTAATAGCATTAAACATTATTGTAGATCACTATTTGAGTCCTCTATTTATAACAATCCCATTGTATTCAGACTCCTGATTTGATTGTTCTTTTAAATATTAACTCCACAGGTGGTATTATCAAATTTCTGTATGTGCTTGCTCAGTTGGGACTTTCATCATTTAAACAATGCTAAATAAGTGACAGTGTTAAAGTGCTGTGTTAAGAATCATATATTTAGGCCGGGTGCGGTGGCTCATGCCTATAATCCTAGCACTCTGGGAGGCCGAGGCGGGAGGATCACTCGAGGTCAGGAGTTCGAGACCAGCCTGAACAACAGCGAGCCCCCGTCTCTACTAAAAATAGAAAGAAATTATCTGGAAAACTAAAAATATACAGAAAAAATTAGCCGGGCATGGTGGCGCATGCCTGTGGTCCCAGCTACTTGGGAGGCTGAGGCAGAAGGATCGCTTGAGCCCAGGAGTTTGGCTGATGCCACGGCACTCTAGCCTGGGCAAAAGAGTGAGACTCTGTCTCCAAAAGAAAAAGCTGAAAAAGAATCATATCTTTAAAGAGCAAAATTAGACATTGAATAATTCACTTAATACTATTTAATATTGCTTTTCAGGACAACACTGATACTTCTTTAGATATTATACCTTCTTGGATAATAAATGTATCTAACGAGAATGAAATCTTAAGGGGATCTATTTATTGTCTTATTCTTATAAGCTTACATAGTGCAACAGAGTTGTTGACAGTTACGTTAGTTTTTTATTTTTAATAATTTTTAGGACAAAAAGGCAATATAGAGAATTGAATTGTATATAGTTTTTTTTTTTAATTCTTCCTTGGACAAAGAGTAAAGACTGTGTGGTAGGCTGAATAAAGCCCTCTCAAAGATGTCTGTGTCTTAACCCCCAGAACATGTAAGTATGTTATTTTACATTATTCTTGTGGACCCAATATAATTACAAAGTTCTTTTTAAGGGGAAGGTAGGAGGATCAGAGTAAGAGAGAGAGAGAGAAAGAGTTTGAGAGATTAGAGATGCTGCACTGCTGGCTTTGAAAATGGAGGATGGGGCCATGAAGCAAGGAATGCAGGAGGCCTCCACAAAGTAGCAAAGGCAAGGAAATAGATTCTCCCCTAGAGCCTCCAGAATGAATGTAGCCCTGCCAATACCTTGGTTTTAGGATTTCTGATATCCAGACCTTTAAGAGGATACGTTTGCATTGTTTAAGCTGCTAAATTTGTGGTAATTTATTACACCAATGATAGGAACTAATACAGGCTACAATTTATGTTTTAATGCGTTCTTTCTCTAATGAAGTGTCACAATGACCACAAAGGTTCAAAGAATGACCTGCCTAGAAAACAAAAAGGAAGCCCACAATAAAGCAAGTATTTTTTAAAAAATTGCATTTCTCTTTATTTATTTGCAGATATGGTCTCTAAAATAGAGTCACCTGTAAGAATTCATGAAGAGGTACATTTCAAAACTCCATCTTCTAAAAATAATTATGAAAAATCAAAACCATCAGTAGACACTGAAGGTCCTGCTCAGGTGGAAATAGATAGATCTTTGGAAAATACCCTGCTAAACAGTCAGATGGTTTCGCCTGATAATCCATCATCTACTCGAAATTACATTCCTCAAAAAGGTAAGAAACAGGTTATTTGTTCTTTAATGCGTCAATGAAGGAAGAAATTAGATTCAGAACCTATAAAATATGTTAACATATTTTTATTTATAAATCAACAGAAGATGCTTCCGAGTTTCAGATTATGAAATATTTATTTCAAATTGATGTTTACGATTTCCTGAATTCTGCATTTTCACCAATTGTAGTTCTTACAGAAAGGGTGAGTTGGCCTTTTTAATCTTTTGCACTAATTTTACCTATTTTACTAAATATATGACGGCCAAACATATTTTGGCTGCAAAATATGTTTGAGCGACTCCTCTCTATATAAAATTTATATCATGTTTCTCTTTCCATGAAATCTTACATGTAAGACTTCTCTTTCTTTTTTTCCCCTCCCCCATCAAGACTTCTCTTTACATTAATGTTTTGTTGCATGGATGTTCTTAAGGAATTTTTAAAATCTTTCCTTAACCTTTGTTGATCTCGAGCAATGGTCCCCCCATTTTTAAAATTAAGGAAAATTATACTAAATAAGGTAATTCAGAAATAATATGAACTAAAAATGAGTCTTAAACAAATTATTATTATTTGAATGAAGCTGTGACCTCAAAAAAGTGTAACGTGAGAATACAAAAGCAACTAATATCTCGAAATTTAACCAAGTTGTAACTAAAATTTCAAATTCTATTCACTTTTTCATTTCTTGTAAATATATAGATACATTTTTTGAGACAGAGTCTCACTTTCTCACCCTGGCTAGAGTGCAGTGTTGTCATCATAGCTTACTGCAACCTCCAACTCCTGGGCTCAAGTGATCCTCCTGTCTCAGCCTCCTAAGCAGTAGGGACTACGGGCGTGTGCCACGGTGTGCCATGATGCCTGGCTAATTTTTTCTGTTTTTAGTAGACATGGGGTTTCGTTCTTGCTCAGACTGGTCTTGAACTGCTGACCTCAAGCAATCCTCCTGCCTTGGACTCTCAAAGTGCTAGGATTACAGGCTTGAGTCACCACGCCCAGCCATTTCTTATAAATCTTATTAAGTGAGGTATTGCAAAAGGAACCAGCTATGGCACTTGGCACATAGGAGGCCTTTTACAAATATTAGTTCCTTTTCTCATCTACTGCTACCATTGAAATGATTTAGGAAGCATTTTTTTAAAAAATTTCAGAATATTATGAGGGTACAAATGTTTTGGTTACATGGATTGCTTTTGTACTGCTTGAATCAAAGTTATAAGTGTGCCCATCACCCAGATAGTGCACATTGTGCCCGTTAGCTATGGTTTCACCCATCCCCTTCTCCCCCCTCTCACTTGTATGATTTCCATTGAGTTTTGCTTCCATCTGTGCACATGAGTGCTGATCGGTTAGTTCCAATTTAATAGTGAGTATATGTGGTGTTTGTTTTTCCATTCTTGCAATACTTCACTTAAGAGGATAGCTTCCAGTTCCATCCAGATTGTTTCAAAAGGTATTAATTAATTCATTTTTTTATGGCTGAGTAGTGCTCCATGGTGTACATATATCACATTTTATTAATCCACCCATGAATTGATGGGCACTTGGGTTGATTTATTACTTTGAGATCGCGAATTGTGCTGCAATAAACATTCAAGTAGCAAGTGTCTTTTTGATAAAAGGACTTTTTTTTCTTTGGGTAAATGCCCACTAGTGGGATTACTGGATCAAATGGTAGATCTACTTTTAGTTCTTTGAGGAATCTCCATATTATTTTCCACAGAGGTTGCACTAGTTTGCAGTCCCAATATTTTTTGTCTTCATATACCTGTTGGCCATTTGAACATCTTCTTTTGAAAAGTATCTATTCATGTCCTTTGCCCATTTTTAATGGGATTATTTATTGTTGTTGAGCTGTTTGAGTTCCTTGTATATTCTGGATATTAGTACCCTGCTGGATGGATAATTTGCAAATATTTTCTCCCAACCTACAGGGTCTGTTCACTCTGTTGACTATTTCTTTTGCTGTGCAGAAGCTTTTTAGTTTAATTAAGTCCCATTTGTCTACTTTTTTTTTTGTCTGTGTTTTTGAGGTGTTAGTCATATGTTCTTTGCCTAGACCAATGTCCAGAAGAGTTTTCTTTATGTTTTTTTCTAGCATTTTTATAGTTTCAGGTCTACATTTAAGTCTTTAATCCATCTTGAGTTGATTTTTATGTATGGTGAGAGTTAGGGGTCCAGTTTCATTCTTCTGCATATGGCTATCCAATTTTCCTAGCACCATTTATTGAAAAGGGTATTTTTCCCCAGTATATGTTCTTGTCTCCTTTGTCAAAGACCAGTTGATTGTAGGTAGATGGTTTTATTTCTGAGTTTTCTATTCTGTTCTATTGATCTATGTGTCTATTTTTATACCAGTACCATGCAGTTTTGGTTATTATATCCTTGTAATATAATTGGAAGTCAGGTAATGTGATGCCTCCAGTTTTGTTCTTTTTGGTTAACATTGCTTTGGCTATTCAGGCTCCTTTTTGGTTCTATATGAATTTTAGGATTTTTTTCTAATTCTGTGGAAAAATGGTATTTTGAAAGGATTACATTGACTCTTTGGATTGCTTTGGGTAGTATGTTCATTTTAATAATATTAATTTTTCCAACCCATAAGCATGGGATGTTTTTCCATTTGTTTGCATCATCTACAATTTCTTTCATAAGTGTTTGTTTTCCTTGTAGACATATTTTACCTCCTTGATTAAATTTACTCCTACATATTTTATTTTTTCGGTAGCTGTTGTAAATGGGATTCTTGATTTTTTTCTCTTAAGAGTTCCCGTCAAATCTAGAATTTTAACAATCTGGGTGCATCTATTAAGCAGCCATAATACACATTTGGATAGATGCAGTAAATAGAAAATTTGAGCAATTTTCCAGGCATGTTTAGGTGAAAGAGTTTTCTTTTCTTTTACTTAAATGTTTCAGGAAATTGTTTCAACTTACTAGTAATTTCAGGTAGATTTTGTACAGAATGTACTTTCTTTGTATTGTTCAAGTAATAGGAATCAAGCTACTTTTTATCTATTTTACAATTGAGGAGACTTTTTGACTTCTAATATTTATATATTCTCAAGTAGAATGCTTCATTTATTTGTGGAATTAACAATGGAAATTACCCAGCTCTTGTTCAACAGGTAGCTCCTGATTCAATATGTTCTGAGAACAAGTCTTACACCACTAATACAGGGAATGAAGATGTGGCTCAACAATTGTTTGATTTTCTTCCAAAGGACTAGATCTTAAAGCCTGTGACACTGCCTATTTAATTAAATGGGAGTAACTAGTACTTCCAGCTTTGCGATGGGGCCCCTTAATAAGGGGAAATCGGTTTCTAGGTTGTGGACCAACTGTTGTGGTTAGCATATGTCCAGTGTTCTTGGATATTTTCTAGTAGCTGCCACAAACACTAACATTGTATTTTCCCCATTTGCTTTAAAGCAGCCCTATATAAGACTGTAAAATCCCATGTCTACTTACGGAGAACAATCTTGGAATATTTTTTACATGACAGAAATCATGTACTCTATATTAATAGAGTATAAAACATTCCGTTTTTTATCAGTTATCAAATTCGGGATTTTTTTTCCAATTGTAGATTTTAAGAGAGTAGTGATATGTATCATATTTAAGAAAACATATATACATATATATATATATGTATGTGTGTGGATACATTTAATAAGGAGTGAGGTCCATGAAATTGGATTATGGGTTGGTAGTCACAACTCCACTTATAGCACCCCTTTACCACACGAGGATCAAAACAGGATCACAGTGGTGTGGAAACAGAAGAGTGCAGGATGTATTAGAACCTGAAATCCTTCTTGGGATATGAGGTGGTTAGTAGAACTTTATTTACATGTTAGGATATTTTAATATGAAATTAATATTATCTTAATATGAGCTGTTTAAGAAATGGAACTGAAAGATATGGAGGAAGAGGTAAGTTTCTATATGACTATTAAGTATATAGAAAAGAAATTAAGTTTGGACTTTTGTACTGAGTTTGTTAAGCATTATTGTGTTTTTGCAATGGGGGAAACTTAGATTTTTCTTTTTTTATATCATTGATTCTGTTGTCCCTAATCTATGTTTTTAATATTTTGAATGGTAATTCTTCAAAATTGGAAAGGGGCACAGACTGATGGAAAGAGGGCAAAGAGATTTTTTTTTATAAGTCCTGACAACTGAAAATGATTCTGGAGTCCCCTGAAAACGTTCAGTCATATTGAAGACTTTTTATCAAGTAATACAATGTTCTAATCGAGGCATACATTGTTCTAAGAGTCTTTGAAATTCTAAAGATAAAATTTTGATTATGCTTCAAAATTAAAGTCAAAACAGTTTTGACTTTAATAAACTATTCGAATCTAGTTTCAATACGCACTGTATATAAGAAGGTTGTGTAACACCTTGTACCTGAAAAATGGAGAATTATTAAGCGATTTCGGGTACTCCCTGATACCGGCAGTTCCTGAAACTCCTTAAGCTGATGTGGCAAAAAGAAAGAGATAGCAATTTGAGTTCTGCAAAACTAGGCCGCATTTTAGTCCTGAAAAATCACTTGCTGTGAACTTGGGCCAGTTGTTGATTTTTTTATGGTGCAATAGTTCCGTTGCTACAAGAGCTTACATTAGGAAACTCTAAGGATTTAAGATTTTGTTCATCTATTAAGTTCTCTTGGGTGATTTGTTTAGGAAGAAGTACCTGCTCCTTTTTGAGCTGCTTCATTTAAGACTTGAGTTAGAAGGCAGAATTTGATGAGAATGATTATGCTGGTAAGGAAGACATATATAAAGAGATGGGTTATCCTTTACACCTAGGTCAGCTAACACAGTCTCCCACGAACAAATCCAGCCCTTGGCACTTTATTCAACGTCCCTAAAAATAGGGTCCTAAATTTAGAGGGCGAGTCTCTACTTTTAGCTCCTTTTCTCAGAGGAAAACAGCACACGCTGGGCCAAGGTCCACTCAGGTCTGATTTAGTATTTAGGTAACTAGCAGTTCATGGAGTTTAAGACAGCGCTGCCTAGTAAGTGCTCAGGTAACTCAGGTGAGCAGACCCCTGGAACCCTCCGTTCGACTGAGGCGGCCGGATCGACGTCCTCTTGTGTGGGGGAGGTTAAACTTTGACTAGACCACGGCTGACCCGAGACGCGAGACGCCTGCCTTCTTGTCCAAAGTCCTGACACGGTTGGCAGCACGCACTGGCGCGTGCCCCACAGGCCGTATTTCTGAAACGAATGCAGGCGGCCAGCTCCCCGGGGCCGGTGGGTTTCCCGGGTACGACGCCGTCGGGGCTTCTGTGGGGTGCAGACGAAGGGCTCCAGCGGGCTGTGAGAGGAGAGCCCTTGGGGGTAGCTAGGTTTGGGCCTGACGCCGGCCCCGGGCCTCCGGGGTGCGCCGCACTCACGCCGCGGGGCTGCGCCGAGGGGCCTCCGGGATAAGCCTCGCCCGCGCCGCGGCCACCCGAGTCGGGTGGGACTTGGGCCATAGCCCTGGTCTTCGGGTCTGTGCGGCCCACACCACAGCGTAGAGGATGAGGCGGAATGCCATTCTCCAGCTCCAAGCCTCTCGACTGTCAGGGTTGGGCGGCTTCGCAAGGTAGAGCCTCGGCCCCTTTAAGAGCGAACAACCGGGACACGTCTACGAACCTCGCGCGAATTAGGCGGAGAAGTTTACAGCGGCCCGCGCCTCCCCGCCTCGCGATCTCCCCGCCTCCCAGCGGCGGCCTGGCCGAAACCAAACTGAGGGGTGGGCCGGCGAGGGGAGGGTGCTCCGCAGGCTCGTGCGGTACTGGCTCGGACCTCCGCTGCCTCAGGATGTAAAGCGTCACAAAGGGGCCGGGGTCAGTAGCGTGGGTATGTGAAGCACGTCGGCGCCCGTGCCCCTACCTCCCCCTGCAGCCGGCTCCGATGTGGTCTGCTCCGTTCGCCGGGTGCGGATTCGGGTTCCGGACCAAACGCTGCGTGTTCTTTGCCGCTTGTTGTGGCACGGTCAGGCCGTGGCCGTGGCTGTGACAGCTAAAGCAGGCTTGTCGCCATGGAAGGGCCCAGGGCTGCTCCTCAGCAGTACTTGGGGCTGGTCCTGGAAGAGCTACGCAGGGTGAGTCCGGGCGCGATCAGGGTTACGTGGCGCAGGGGTCGCGGGAGCCGCACGGGGGAGGAAGCAGCAGACTAGCTTCGGGGGTCTGAGCCGCAGTGGTCGGAGGTCCTGAAGCCAGTCCTCACCTAATGCTGGGGTCTGGCCTGTGTTCAAGGCAGTAGCCAGGTTCATAGGTGCTTCAGTGGTTTTTGTGTGGTGGAAGAAAACCTGGAGATCAGGAAGGTGAAGAAAGCATTCGCTTAGCTGGACTTTGCAAAGGTATGGTAAAATGTTTCCTCATTCCTAAAACGAATTAGTCTTTCCGTTATGTTATTTATTTTGAGCAGGTGTCAGTGACACGTGGTTTCTCCTACTGTGAGAAACTTGAAGACCGGTCCTTTGAAATGAGTTCTATTTAGTGATGAAACTTCTCCTTGTCTTGGAAGGACACTTAAGCTTGGGCGGGGAGTTGGGATTCTGATTCTGCATTTTCTTTCGATAAAAAATGCCCCTTGGAGATGCTCTACCATAAGTGAGATTGTTCTTCGCTTCTGTCTGAGTCTTATTTATGTAAAATCTAGAGATATTAAGCTCCCAGTATTCAAATTTGCTTTTTTCCGGTCCAGTTTATAATAAGGTTGTGGGGATTTTTCTCATTAAGTGTTTATAAGTGTCTTTGTTGACATGTTTAGGGGAATTTATGTTGCTGTGTTTTTAACATGTGCATTGAATCTTGGAAAAGACCATTTAAAATTTGAGACAGTTATGATTGCTTTCTCGTTATGTGCATTAAAAAGTACTGTTGCCATGCCATTCATTCATTTATTCAACCATAGTTTGTCTAGTGCATGTGTGTGTGTATGAAAGGGACAGCTTTATGGAGATTCTAAATGGGTTAAGACATAGTTTTGGCTGGTAGCATCATGCTGTCTGTTAAGGGAGAGAAGACAAAAAATAGTACGAAGTAGAAACTGATGAAGTGCTTATTGAAGCATATACACAAAGTACTAAGGAAATTGAGGGGTAGGAGAGATTATATTTTCTTGAATGATTAGGAAAATCTTTCCACGCTGAGCAAATAGCTTAAGCAGAGGAGGCATGAAACAGCATGGTATGTGCACGGTAGTAGGAGCTGTGTTACTTAGTGTGTGAAGTGGGCTCAGGGGGTGATGTGCAGTGATGCTTGCTGGAGACATAAGTAGGTTCCAAGTGCTGTAGGTGCTAGAGAGCTGTTGAAGGCTTTTCAGTGGTTAGACTTTTGCTTTAGAAAGATCTTCCTGATAGTAGCATGTAGGTTAGATGTCAGGGAAACAAAACTCGAAACAGGACTTAAGGGAGAGGTAACAGAGCAGTAAGGATAGAGAAGAGGGTATTGAATGGGGAAATATTTAGGAGCTAAGAGCTAAAATGGGTATGACTTTATTGATTGGCTATGAAGTGGGGAGAAAGAGAGAGGGAGAGGGAGAGGGGTTTCTGGTTATGGCAACTTAGTCATTCGCTGAAGTAGGGGTTATAGGAAGAGAAGCATATTGTGGGATGAGAGAGAATTTCAGATTGCATGTATATCTTTTTCTTCACTGAAAACAATAATAATCAAAACTTACTATGTATAGAACTGCCAATGGAGAAAGACATGGAGAAGGGCAGAATTTTCTGTAGTCTGGTGAACATTTTCACCTGGACAATTTTTTTGCTAAATGCCAGTACTCTTACCATACTGGGCTGGGGACTAAGATGGCACAATATTGTTATACTTATGAATTTTAATTTTCATTTTAAAAATTATTTTTTATTGAGATATAGTCACATAACATAAAATTAACCTTTTTTTTTTTTTGGAGACAGAGTCTCGCTCTGTCGCCCAGGGTAGAGTGCAGTGGCGTCATTGTAGCTCCCTGCAACCTCAAACTCCTAGGCTCAAGCGATCCTCCTACCTCAGCCTCCAGAGTAGCTGCAGGTGTGTGCCATGACGCCCCGATAATTTTTCTTTTCTTTTCTTTTTTTTTTTTTTTCTGTAGTAGAGATGGGATCTCACTCTTGGTTAGACTGGTTTTGAACTTCTGAGCTCAAGCAATCCTCCCACATCAGCCTCCAGAGTGCCAGGATTGGTTAGCCACCAAGCCAATCTAAGTTACCCTTTTATCGTGTCCAATTCAATAGTATTCTTGTATGTTTGTTATGTTGTACAACTATCAGCATAATTCCAGAACAGTTTTATCACCTCACAAAAAACCTCGTACCTATTAGCATTCCCCCCCAAAAAACCTTGTACTTACTAGCGGCCCTAATTTTCTTCTTTATCTATTTTCTGTCTTTATGAATATGTCTATTCTGGAAACTTAATATAAATGGTAATACCATATGTGGCTTTTGTGTATGGCTTCTTTTGCTTAGCATGTTTTTAAGGTTCATCCATGTTGTAGTATGTAACAGTGATTCATTTCTTTTTATGGCTGAAAAATATTCTATTGTGTGGATATACCACATTTATGCTATAGTTGATGGACATTTGGGTTGTTGAGACTTTTTGGCTATTATGAATAATACTGCTATGTGTATAAGTTTTTATATGAGTATATGTTTTCAGTTCTCTTGGATATATACCTAGGAGTGGAAATTGCTGGGTCATATTTACTATATGTTTAACTTTTTGAGGAACTGCCAAATTAGTTTCCACACAGGCCACACAATTTTACATCCCCCCATCAGTTTAAGAGGGTTCTAATTTTTCACATCCCTTACAACACTTGTGATTTTTTGCTTATTGGCTATTCATATATCTTTGGAGAAATGTCTGTTCCTTTCCTTTTGCTCATTAAAAAAATGGGTCGTTTTTTGTTTTTGAGTCACAAGAGTTCTTTAAACATATTCAGAATACTAGACCCTTATCCAATATATGATTTGCAAGTATTTTCTCTCGTTCTGTGCACTGTCTTTTCACTTTTTTCATGGTGTGCTTTGAAGCACAAAAATTTTCAATTTTGATTAATCCAGTTTATCTATTTTTCTGTGATTGCTTGTACTTTTAGTGTATCTATGAAATCATGGTTTATAACAAAGTTATAGATTTTCACCTATGCTTCCTTCTAATATTAGTGTTAGCTCTTACATTAAGATCTTTGGTCCATTTTGAACTAATTCACTTTTGTTTGTGGTGTAATATTCCTTGGCATGTGGATATTTATCCTGGTATGACTTGTTGAAAGGATTGTTCTTTTTCTTTTTCTTCTTTTTTTTTTTTGAGACGAAATCTCGCTCTGTTGCTGAAGCTAGAGTGCTGTGGTGTCTAAACAGCAACCTCAAACTCCTGGACTCAATCCATCCTCCTTCCTCAGCCTCCCAAGTAGCTGGGATTACAGGCACGTGCCACCACGCCCCACTCATTTTTTCTATTTTCTATTCTCATTTAGTAGAGATGGGGTCTCACTCTTGCTCAGGCTGGTCTCCAACTCCTGAGCTCAAGCGACCCTCCTGCTTTTGCCTCCCAAAGTGTTAGGATTACAGGTGTGAGCCACTGCGCACGGCCGAAAGAACTATTCTTTCCCATTGATTTGTCTTGGTACTGCTGTTGAAAATAATTGACCATGAATTTAAGGGTTTATTTCTGGATTCTCATTTCTATTCTGTTGGTCTTTATTTCTATCCGTATGCCATTACCACGTTGTCTTATATTTTTTTTCTTTTTTTTGAGACAGAGTCTCACTCTGTTGCCTGGGCTAGAGTGCTGTGACGTCTACCTAGCTCACAGCAACCTCAAATTCCTGGGCTCAGGTGATCCTCCTGCCTCAGCCTCCGGAGTAGCTGGGACTATAGGTGCGCATCACCACTGCCAGCTAATTTTTTCTATTTTTAGTTGCCTGGCTAATTTTTTTTTTATTTTTAGTAGAGACATAGTCTCACTCTTGCTCAGGCTAGTCTTGAACTCCTGACCTCAGGTGATTGTCTGCTTTGGCCTCCCAGAGTGCTAGGATTACAGGCCAGAACCACCACGCCACCACACCCAGCCACATTGTCTTGATTATTATAGCTTTGTAGAACGTTTTGAAATAGGGAAGTATGAATCCTCCAAAATTGTTTTTGTTTGTCAATATTTTTTTGGCTATTAGGGGTCCCTTGCATTTCCATATGCATTTTAGGAATTTATGAATGAATTTTAGGAATCAGCCTGTCCAGTTTTGCAAAAAAGGCAGTTGGAATTTTGATAAGAATTGCATTGAGTCTGTAGATGAATTTGGGGAGTATTGCCACCTTGACAACATTAAATCTTCCAGTCCATGAACACAGGGTATCTTTACATTTATTTAGATCTTCTTTAATTTGTTTCTACAGTGTTTTGTAGTTTTCAGTGTATATTTCTTTTGTTAAATTTATTCCTAATATCTTATTTTTTGATGCTATTATAAATAGAAGTGTTTTCTTAATTTCATTTTCAGATTGCTCATTGCTGTTGTATAGAAATGCAACTGATTTTTTTATATTGATTTTGTATCCTGCAATTTTGCTGAACTTGTTTATTAGCTTGATAGTTTTTTTGTGGATTCTTTAGGATTTTCTATATATATGTTAATAACACGGCTATGTTACCTTTCCAGTCTAGATGCCTTTTATTTCTTTTTCTTGCCTAATTGCCCTGGCTAGAACCTTCAGTACAATGTTGAATAAGTGTGGATAGTAGTGGACATCTTGCTATTGATCTTAGAGGGAAACCTTTCCTTCTTTCTCCATTAAATATGATGTTAGCTGTGGGTTTTGCCTTGTCAGGTTGAGGAAATTCCTTTCAACCCCAGTTCGTTGAGTGTTTAGATCATGGAAGGGTGTTAGATTTTGTCAGTTGTTTTTCTGTACCTATTAAGATAATCTTGTGTTTTTTTTTCCTTCTTAATATGCTGTATAACACTGATTTAGTTTTGTATGTTAAACCAATCTTGCATTCCTGGGGTAAATCCCACTTGGTCATGGTATATAATCCTTGTTATGCTACAAATATTTTGTTGAGGATTTTTGCATCTATAGTCATAAGATATATTGATGTGTGGTTTTCTTTTCTTGTAATGTATTTATGTGGCTTCCAGGGTAAATACTGGCTTCATAGAATGAGTTAGGAAGTGTTCATAGAATGAGTTAGGAAGTGTTCCCTCCTGTTCTATTTTTGGGAAGAGTTTGAGAATGACTGGTGTTAATTTTATGTCTTGACAAGGTGTACCTTTGTGGAACTTTGCTTTATTGTTTTTTTTTTTTGAGACAGAGTCTCACTCTCTTGCCTGGGCTAGAGTGCCGTGGCATCAGCCTAGCTCATGGCAACCTCAGACTCCTGAGCTCAAGTGATCCTCCTGCCTGAGCCTCCTAGGTAGCTGGGACTACAGGCATGCGCCACCGTGCCCGGCTATTTTTTTTCTATTTTTAGTTATTTGGCTAATTTCTTTCTATTTATAGTAGAGACGGGGTCTCGCTCTTGCTCAGGCTAGTCTTGAACTCTTGAGCTCAAACAGTCCTCCTGCCTCGGCCTCCCAGAGTGCTGGGATTACAGGCGTGAGCCACCATGCCCGGCCAGAACTTTGCTTTATAGTCATCTATTCTCAGGACCTGTACATTGACAGTCTCTTATGTTTTGTTTGCTAATATATATCATGTTGAGTTTAGATGAAAAATAATTTTAACATAATCTTAGTATATTTTGTCAACTCAGTTAGTTGATTTTTAATTAATTAATTAGCTAACTAATTTTTTAGAGACAGGGTCTCACTGTGTTGTCCAGGCTAGAGTGCAGTGGCTATTCACAGGCACTATCATAGCCTACAGCAGCCTCCAACTCCTGGCCTCAACTGATCCTCCCACCTCAGCCTCTCATGTAGCTGGGACTATAGGCATACACCACTGTGCCTAGCTTTTTAATTTATCTGTTTTTATTTCAAACAATTTCTTTTGATTAGTTAATTTTTTTAAAGCTACTTGTTCTCAAAATCCTGTGGTACTTATGTTTTGGGAATGGAATAGATTTTAAGTGTTCTAATGATTAATCACTGCCGTATTTTATGGAGGGTTGCTCCTGGAGGATTACCTATCACTCCTAAAATTTAGGACCAGTTTGCCAGATCACATGTAATTCTGTATTGCATTATATTTGTTGAAGTTTGATAAATTTGGTTATTCCTTCTTTGCTTTTGTGAAATAGGATATTACATTGTAGTTAAAACTTAAGGGTGAAAAGTCCCCATGAAAAAGCCAGAATAATTTAGACAGAACAAGGGGTTTGAGATGAATCCTTTAGACTTAGATTCTTTGCTTTTGCGGTCTACCAGTCTACCAGATCCAACCAGCTCAAAGCTTTAGGCTGGAATTTACCATATCCTTTTAGAATAAAAGAGTTGTTAAAATACTATCGAGTCTAAGAAATATCATTATATTAAAGATAATTGCATGCTTGATTTGAGAGATGCTTTTAGAATTGTTCTAGTTTAAAGTGTTGTAGTGTCATAAGAAAATCACATTGATTATTAGATTTTTGAGGTAGTGTGTGTCTTATGTGTTGAGTAAGTTAGCTGAAAGTAAGATGCTTAGAGAATATTTAAACTATGAAGAAAACTTTTCTCCCCAGTATTGTTTATTCATTGCCTCTTTTTCCCAGTGGCAAAAATAAACACTTTTATCATCTGTTGACTGTATGATGTTACATTTCTATGACCTGGTAGTTGGGGTAATGTAGGGAGAGGCAGAGGCAGAGGTCAGGGTCAAGGGATATTTTTTTAGCAGATACAAAATCAGGTGTATTTGATACAGGTTAATAAACTATAGATAGCAGCTTAGAAGGAGTACATATATGGATTAAAGTTATAGAAAAGATTTTGGAGAGGAGAATAACTATTAAGGCTGTTTTTTTCTAGGTAGAAAGGGCCTACAAAGGAAGATTTGCTATAGAGGTTTTGGGCTGGAGCCTGGAAAGAATCAAACCTGATCATACTTCAGGCTGTTTTTAAAAGGATATTTTTCTTTTTTCCCTTGCCTTTCTTCTTTCTTTGTGATTGAGTAATATCTGGGGCCTGGCAACAAAGAGCAGAATAACCCCATTGGGTGAGGATGAGTAATGAGCTGACCCAGAGAAATATAAAAGCAACTGCAAAAGCCTTAAGCTGTGTTGTGCTGAAGACCTGCTGTGGAGAGAAGTAATGTGGAAAGGCCATGGTTATAGGATCAGGGGTCTTTGAAGGAGAAATAATATAAATAGTTACCTTTTGTTGAGTACCTGTCCTGCACGTTCAAATAGCATTAATCCTGTTCCAGCTAAGAGAAGGGCCCCCCCAGAGGTAGAGTGAAGGGATTCAAATTCCAAATCCAAAGCTCTGTCAGTGGTTTTCAAACTTTATTTTAAAGCTGCAGATTGATTTTTTTTCTGTAGGGAAACTTTATATTGGGGACCCAATATACTCTATAGATAAAACCTACACTGGTTCAAATCAGGGTAAGAACACCTCAACCCCTGGTCATTCAGCTTCTTTCACTGGCGTTCTCTTCTCATTGTCACCCTGGTAAGCTCTGAGGCACCTGTGTAGAACTCCAGTTTGAAAATTATTGCATGTCAGCATACTGCTATTCTTCTTCAGTTGGTGATAGTGGTTGAGTGTTGCCGCCAAAATATACTCTAATTAACACTTTTTATCTAAAGTGCATTTTGAAGGACTTGCTTTTCTTTGCCTTGAAGGTTGTGGCAGCATTGCCTGAAGATATGAAACCAGGTCCTAATCCTTTTGGTTTTCCATGGGAATTGGTGATATGTGCAGCTGTCGTTGGGTTTTTTGCTGTTCTTTTTGTTGTGTGGAGAAGTTTTCAATCGGTAAGTAACCAACTCTGTAATAAGAGAATGTTCATTCTGTCTTTGGGTGGAACAAGTATATGAGAAACATAGTTGTTATTTTAAAGAAACAAGTTAGGTTGTAGTTATGTGAGTTATTCAGGTTCCTGTGTGACTACTAGAAATTAAGTATGGATTCAGAGGAATTTTTTTAAAATATAAAAATTTTAAAGAATTTCTTTGTAGACATATTCTATACTGACACTAAAACTCTTCCTTTATTTTTTCTTCATTTTCTTTTCTTTTGGTCTGTGTTTGTTTTTAACAATATACTAAACATCTGCGAGTGTATCGCCCAACTTAGAAACAAAAACACCGACTGTCACTGTCACTTACATTTAGGTAGATCCTCCCTCATTTCATCCCCCTGCCTCCCTGTACTAAAGGTAACCCTGGTCCCGGATCCTGTGTTGATTATTCCCATGCCTTAAAAAATTTTTTTTTGGGGGTCATATCTACGTTTATCTTTCAGTAGTATAGTATATTATTTTACCTGGAATCATGTCATCTGTCATCCTTTGGAACATTTTTTACTCCATTCTATATTGTTCAAATTCATATTTTTGAATGAGACTATAATTTCTTCTATTTTGACTGCTTTAGAATATTACATTATAAGAATATACTACAGTGTATTTATACATTTTATGGCATTGGGCATTTGAATTGTTTCCAGGCTTTTTCTATTTCAAACAGTGCTATTGTGTACATTCTTATACATGTTTCCTGTGGTATATTTTGTAAGAGTTTCTCTTGGGAATATATGTAGGTGTGAGATTACGAGGTTACAGGGTATGTGGAGGTTCAACTTTTAAAAGGTAATGCCAAATTCTTTTCCAAATTGTCTGTACCAATTTGCACTCCTATTAGCTGTGTATAAGAGATCCATTTGATCCATGTGCTCTCCAATACTTCTTGTTGAAGTTCTTAATTTTTGTCATTTGAATGGGTATAAAATTGTATCTTATAGTCTTTATTATCCTGCTCTACATGGATATCCTTGTTATGTGCATTGCAAATATCCTAGTAAAAAATATCTTTTCATTTTCTTTGGAATTTTTACTGATAGCCATAAATTCTTAATTTAAAAATTTTCCTTTTAACACTGAAGTCCTTGATCCATCTTGAATTAATTTTTTGTTTTGTGTGGGGTAGTGATTCAGTAATATTTTTCCCAATGAGTAACTATTTTTCCCCCTGCTCTGTTTATTGAATAGTCCTTTCTTTCTCCTCATCTGCCATGCTATGTAGTAGAGTTTCACATGCATGTTGGCCTTTTCTACACTTTATTCCATTCATTATTGTTGTTAGTGGATATATGTATATCATTTTATAGCCATCCATTAGATCAAGCTTGCTGATTGACTAATTGTATCGTTCTTGTATTATATATTCTTATTCTTTTGTTTGTTTCCTTCATCTGTCAAGAATGAAGAAAAGTGGGCTGCACTCTACTGTCATGGTGTATTTATCACTTTCTGTTTTTGTATCAATTCTTGCTTTCCATATTTTGAGGATATTTTGTTAGGTGCATACTTGTTTAGGATTGCTTTATCTCCGTGGTGAATTGAACCTTATCAATATTTAGAGACCCTCTATCACTCTAGTGGCACTTTTACCTTAAGGTCTCTGATGCTAATATAGCCATGCCAACTTTTTTTTGAGTGATAGTTGATGTCTTTTTTCATCTTTATACTTTTCAGCCTTTTCATGGTCCTCTATTTAATGTGTGTCTTAGACGAATTTTTAAAAAATATTTAATCTGGCAATCTCATTTTTCATTAATGAGTACAGTCTGTCTACATATATTATGATTATTGATTATCGATGTATTTGGACTAGTTTCTTCCAGCTTACTTTATTAATAGGTTTCTTTTAAATTTTTTTCACATTGGCAAGTGTATCTTTCTGTTAGGAAGACAAAAACCTTAGCACATTCTCACATCCCTTGTTCTCCTCTTTCACTTCCCAACTCCCGTCATGTTGATATCATCTAGATCAGCTGTCTCTAACTTTTTTTTCACCAGGGACAGGTTTCATGGAAGATAGTTCTTCCACAGATGGAGTGGGGGGTAGGGAGAGGGGAAGGAGGCAGAGCTCAGGAGGTGATGTGAGCAATGGGGATCGGTAAAGCTTTGCTCATCTGCTGCTCACTTCCTGCTGTGCTCTTGGGGAGGCATTCCTAAGTTTCCTGGAAGACAATTTTTCCATGGACAGTGGGGGGACGTGGGAGGCTGGGGGAGCTGGGGGCTGCAGGCCCTAGCTCTGCAGCCCAGTCGCTAATAGGTCACAGACCGGTACCGGTCCGTGGCCCCGGGGATTGGGACCACAGATCTAGACTTTTAGTTCTGGATTATTAAGGTTGTATTTCTTTTTTCTTTGTTCTTAATTTTTTCCTCCACCTCTTGCCCCCGATCTGCCATGCCACATGTTAGAGTTCCACATACATGTGGGCCTTTTCTGCACTGTATTCTATTCCATTGATTATTGCCAGCTTCAACAAATATTAACAAGTTGTTTGATCACCCTTAATTGACAAACCTTCTGAGATTTTATTTTGAATTCTTGAGGATATTTAAGTCCTTACTAGAGTGGTAATTTGTTCAGATATAAGCATTCGAAGTCCCAAGTTCTGTCTTTTTAAGACTTTGAAAACCTTACTCCCTTGTCTTTTCATATCCAGTGTTATTTATTGTAAAGTCTAACATCAGTGTGATTCTTACTCATTTATAAGCGACCAGTTCTCTGTGGAAGCCTTTAAGAATGTTTTAATTAGATATTCTTATTTCGATATAATATGTCTAGGTATAAACTACACCCCAACCCCCATTTCTCCTTTAGAATTCTCTTGGAATCTTTTAATAAGAGATCTTTCATTCTCTCTCCCTCTTTTTTTTTTTTTGTTTTTGTTTTTGAGACAAGGTCTTGCTGTGTTGCGCATGCTGGCTGGAGTGTGGTGGCTATTCATGGGCTGAATCATAGCGTGCTACAGCCTTGAACTCCTGGGCTCAAGTGACTTTCCTGCTTCAGCCTCCTGAGTAGCTGAGACTATAGGCGTGTGTCACTGTGCCTGGCTCCATCTATTCTAGGAAATTTCTTCTGCATTTAATTATTTTTTTCTATTTAGGACTATCAGTTTTCAGATGTAGGCCCTTCTACTTTTGACTTCCCTTATCTCTTAACTTTTATTTTTCAATTTCTTTGTGGTTTTCTGTTGTTTTAGTTCACTGATTTATTCTTCATCTCTACCCATTCTATTATACTTTGTGTTTTAATTTTTTTAATTTTATCTCTATACATACTCTGTAGATGATTTAAGTCCTCATTTCTTTTTTTTTTTTTTTTCGAGACAGAGTCTCATTCTGTTGCCCGGGCTAGAGTGCCGTGGCATCGGCCTAGCTCACAGCAACCTCAAACTCCTAGGCTCAAGCGACCCTCCTGCCTCAGCCTCCCAGGTAGCTGGGACTACAGGCACGAGCCACCATGCCT